GCGGCCTCTCCAGCTGCAGCGAGGGAGGACTCCGGCCCCACCTGACGCACTCGGTCGTCCCCGCCAGATGGCGGCATTGTGGACACGGTCTGACCCTGACTGATTGGTTGTTGGACACGTCGCTAGATGGCAGGTTAAGTCGGCACAGGTGGCTGCCCCTGTGGGCCTGGTGCGGCATGCCTTTTGATGGTTCGGGAGCTCAAGCAATTTGTGCCCGAGGCGACCAGGCCCTTCGTTTAATGTAGAAAACGGGTTAAAATTTTGGGAACTTGCAAGGGGTCCCAGTACGGAGTACTACAGGTAACCAGCTCTGAATCTGAGTGCGATAGTGAACTAAACCCCGACTGATTCACGACATTTTCGGTTGAGTCGAATCCACATTGACTCAGTAAGCTTTAAATTATTCCGATGTCCACGTTCAGTCATCCGGGTCTGGAGTTGTCTTCCACGTGGCTAGTCATCCTAATCGACTCACGTATCTGACCTAAGTTAGCCGAATTGACTCCGGTATCTGACTTATGCTAGCCTAGTTGACTCAGGCATCTGACCTAGGCAAGCCTAGTTGGCTCAGGCATCTGAACTGGGTCAACCTAGTTGACTGAGGTATCTGACCTAGATCAGCCTAGTTGTCCCAGGTATCTGACCTAGGTTAGCCTAGTTGACTCAGGTATCTGACCTAGGACCACCGTTTTAGGGGCCAGAAAGAACAAAAAGGAGAATGTTTTCCGTTCAGTGGTGTCCAGCAGTGAAAGACAATAGTGAGCGTCAGGATAGCAGTGAGAATTCGGGGCTACCAGCACAAAGCTTTTCTCGGCTAGCCGGTGGTCGTGCTAACTCGTGTTGGTATTTGGCCGCATTTGGCCGGCGCGTATTTGGCATCGACACATGCTAACAAAACGGACTATCACAGTCGGTAATACGACGCACCGACATCCAAGAACTTTCGATTCGCCCGCTGCGTCAAACCGCGCCACCGCACCAGTGCTGACGCCGGGTTTGGCTTCCCCGGGTGACCGAAGACCGACTGTGGGCCCGCCTGTCGCAGGGACGGGTGGGCTGTTGGGCGGGAACAGGGACGCCTCTCTGATCAGCAGTCCCTTACCTGCTTCAGAGAGCTAGCTGGCCCGCTCACCTTTATAGCCAAACCAGACGTGCGCCCTGGGGCTGATCGGATGGCTCATGCACGACATCATGCTATGCGACCTCTCACCGCGCCCGCACCACGTACCGAACGACGTAAGGCTTACACTGGACGCCGGAAGAGGGGCGTGCCCAGAGGGAGGGGCCACAGAAGTCCGCAAACCGTGCTTTGTGTTAAACTCTTGGAAAGATAGCAAGCAAGGATGTTCGTTACGCTACAGGAAGCTGTTAAATGCTAGAGCGCGTTGCCTTTTACAGTCACACCAAGGAGTTCCGACTTATGATTGAAATACGGTCTGGCCTGTTATGGACCCTAGCTGTCAAATGGCAGAGTGCACTACCGCTGCGCGCGATTGTACCACGTGTAGGGTATTTTTCACCCGCCGCAGCGCGACACTCGCGTAACTGCCTATGCGATTGGTGTTGTGCGAGCGAATCGGCGCAGCTGAAGACCCACGGCCTTCGTGCGTGGCGCGGGCCCGGCTTCACACGGCGCGCCGATCGTCTAGCTTTGCGTAAATTTCCATAAATGGATGCATGTCATATTTCGAAAGAACATTTTAATTCAATGTGGCTAGCTCTCCCTCAGCATCACATAGTAGTGACAGACCCACCTGCCACATAAGTTCCACGTAAATGTGCACGATGCGGCTTTGCTAAATGACGACATTTTCTGTTGCGCATGGCAATGCACTTTTTCTTTGCAGGTCTGAGAGTTTCATTTCAACCAATGTATGAATTCTCTTGAAAGCGTGAAAGGAATGCAGCTAAAGATTCCAGAATATAATGGCAACAGCATTCAGATGAAACTCAACCTTTCCCTGCATTTTACCGTAAAAAGGGCCACAGGACAAGTTTAGGTGTAAGGATGCACAAAAGCAAGAGCAGCGCTATATTAGTGGTGGCATGCTATTTATCCAAGTTTTGACGGTTCATGGCTGATTTTCTAGGCCGCCGGTGGTGTTTTGGGGGAATAAAGTTAGTGATTTGGCAGTCAACAGGCATTGCCTGTCTATAAACCCGTTGGCTGCAACGCACAAAATGTACGCAAAAAAAGTATATTGCTGCGAAGACACACCAATCGTCGTTGCCGCAGCCCAACTTTGGTAAAACTGAGCTCAGCTGCAGTTACGCTGATCACTAGGCGCGCAGCCAGAACCTCGGTAGGGGGCGGGACGCATGGTTGACAAATACCCCCCCCCCAAAAAAAAAACCGCCGGATATGGCCCACTTGGTAATAAAGACATGCTTTTCTTCGCTATTATATACCTTTAATATAATAATACCTTTTTTAATATAACAATGCCGTTTTTGCCTTCTATAACTGGAAGATAAGCCAGACGCTGCTCCGAGATCATTCCCGCCTGAAGTTTATTGTCAATGAACTGAAAAAGTAAGCATCAAACGACTGCATGAAATACACCACTGACACTCTTCGTTTTACGATGGGCCAGTAAAGACGTTTTTAGCCGATAAAACTCAGAAGCTTTGTCAGAATTTGTCTGGGTTATACACAGATAGGTAAGGACCCGGCGAATGTATTTTGAAGAGCAAGATGGATCAACGATATATGTATATATATATATTAACACTGGAAATGTTCAGAAATCAGTCAGAATCGATCGATGAAACAAATCATGTTATATAGTTTTGAGCACCCGCGTTCGAATATCTTAGCAACAAAAATTTCAACGCCAGGAGTTGCAGTCTCCTTAGATCGCGCAGCGTTGGCTCCGTGGCTAACATCAGGTGGTGATCAGCGGGAAGATATTCTGAGCGTACATTCATCGATGTGATTTTTATAGTGATTCTAATAAAAGTTCGACCGTTACGGCAACGCGAAGTGGTGCTGGAATCTGGTGGTAAAACTCGCACAGGAAACTTAAAATCCCAATTTTTCGTATTTTTGTATCTGTAGTTTCCCCGGAGGACATCATCAGAGTTGTAAAATACATCCGCTCGCTCTCTTCTTTGAGCTGCACGAATCCAATTCTTGAAAGACATTCAGACCGGTCTTATTATTACTGGTCAGACATATTTTCCGATGGTCGTTGTTGCACGCACGGCGCCCGTCGCTTGGCGTTGCTTGCGAGGCCAACGCCGTTCGGTTGTTCTGAAACTGCAACCCAGGCCAACGCTGTCCTTGCCACCCGAGATTGCCGGTGTGTCACTGGGACTTTGTGACTCGAAGATGGAATGGCCTTGTGCGTTTTATACTCATTTCGACCCACTCCATTCAACACTGATGAGAACCCTATTTCTTTCCAAGCGAGGGGTCCCCTTGAGTAGAACAGTACGGGGCACATTGTTTCCCGGTCAAGAGCTGAAGGGTCATTCTATCCCACTGCGGTGCGTCTTACGGCCGTCATTCTGGCGACACGGGGCGGAGTCCCCTGCCCGGCCCAGAGGCCCTTAGAGGGATATATCCTTTCATATTGGTCCACCCCCTGACGCAGGAGGCTTTCTGATCCGCACAGTTGACCCTGGATCGACACAGGAACCCCCATGGACGCAGCAACATCCCTGATGGCCTCAGGCTGTCATATAATTGGCAGATGGACTCAAGTTCGGCTTCATGGGCCCACGCTGGAACAGGGCTGAAGGCCCCACCGTTCGGTATTGGGGGCCCTGACTGACCAGGACCCTTCCATTGCTCCAATGTGAGCACTCACCATACGTTCGCACGTTTTCTTTCGCTGTCAGAAGGCCCCAACCGACGCAAGAGGCCCTCCGTCATTCGGGCCTGTTGCATCGGTGCAAGGGACGTCCCAACTCAACGTCAACGTCTCAACAGGGACGTCTCCGTCCCTGTTGAGCA